GAGGCACCGTGAAACTGTGAGCAATACACCAAGTCTGTCCTCAGAGTTAACTAGAGGGCTGAAGGTGTAAAGAAGAAGAAGAAGAAAAGACAGATTTCAAATGGAAATGAGAAAGTTACACAATTTAAGGCTGCTGTAATCCAGCTCCTGGGAAAAGCCTTCCAGGGGCAAATGGTGTTGAGATTAGGTTTCATAAAATTCTAGGTGAATGTAGATGATTCCTAGCTTTATTTTGAATTCAGTTATTATTCATTTAAGACATTTGGCACAATCATCCTGCATGATAGTTCATCAATATATGTATGTTAACAGCTGTAAGAGAAAGGTTGCTCTGATTAGGGTAAACTGAGAGCAACTTAATCATTGTATAGGATGAAAATTAGTTTCAAGATGGCAAAGATTAGCTAACTAAATTAAGCATGTATACTTATCATAGTAAACATGAGTTAGTTCTCTTTTTAAAATTTTCTTAATTTTTAAACTTTTAAAATTACTTATTTTTTAGTCAATTAAAGCTAAGTACAATATTATTTGAGTACCAGAGCAATGAAATGCCAGTGAAAAATCCATACCTGTAAACAGTATGACAGTGTACAGAGGCCATCCAACTGGAAGTCCAAAAACCAGAATCCAAAATTCAGGCACTATATCTCCTCAACATTGTATATTTCATATAGGTGTCGTAACAGCCTCATCTGGCACGTGTTTGTTGAAGGAAACTATGCATATAGTCTTGGTCTTCTTAGTCAATTAATTTACAAGGGATTATGTCCGAGATACCCTTTATAACATTTAAAAATCTAGTCTAGTAATAAAAGATAACATGAGTTTTCCTATTCTGAGTATATACTTGTCATATGGCAACAATCTTTTTTTTAGTATTTAAAAATATTTATTATTAATTGGGAGTTAATACATATATCATATCGTTCTACAGTTCAGTCATGTCAAGCAGAATTGTACAATTGGTACCACAATCAGTTTCCAAACATTCTTTTTCTTCCTGGACTCCTTGACATTGTCTCCCTTTTACAGCACCAGCACAACCACTGTACCTGCCCCCCCACAAACACTCGAAACCCTTATTCTACTTGCTTTCCCTATAGGTTCATCAATCCTGGATTGTATATGCTGAAACGCATAAAAATGTATAATACAACATCATGAGGGTGACCTCCAATGACATAAAACCTCTGAGATACACCCTAATATGAACAAACAAAAATACAGAAAATGTTGAAGACCAGAATAGGCCCAGCATGTATCAGAGGGGGAATTGTAAGTTGAGTGAAGGTTTACAGAACAGATCAGTTTTCCATTCAATAGTTCTGTGTTGTCTGGGTAGACTAGAGAAACTCATATGTATATAAGAGAGAGTTTTATATAAAGGGTAAGTGTACATTAAGAAAACATTCCAACGCAGTGCTGCCCAAGCCCATAAATCTAACATTAGCCCTTATGTCCAACACTGATCTACAAAGTCCTCCTCAGCCTCACAAAACACACGCAATGATGCTGAATACAGGAGGAAAGCCGAATCAGTGAGCGTGTAAGCATCTCAGCACTGGCAGGAGTCTCCACATGGATGCTCAGCACCCAGGGCTGCATCAGGGTAGGTCCATGGGGCTTCTCCTTGGGGATGTCTTGCAGGAAGTGAGCCTTGCCAGCGGAGGCAGAGAACTAGCTAAGGCAGCTGTACACTGGTCTGACCACCAGAGAACAAGAGACCAGAGAACCAGAAAGATGAGGCTCACCGAGCCATTTACCTCTCTGCCCTTCAATGAATCCCACATGTGTTTATCAGCTAGGTTGGCACAATAAACCTTAACTATCTGAGGTTCATACACATTTTGTTTCATGTCATTGATTGGAATCTCCACAATGTTGTATCACTTATTCTCACTTCCTTCCTGGGTTTCCTGATGCCATTCCTCCTTCTTGCCTAACCTGTTGAACTTTGTTCTTGGATAAGTGCTGCCCATTTGATGTCAGACGGTTGATTATTCTTAGGTGTGCCTATCTCCTTAGTGTTATGGTTCCCCTTATAGACCTGTCAGTTGTTTAGAAAAGGACATCATGCGTGGTACAGTGGAAACAACAAACAAACTCGTTACCGTCTAGTTGAATGATTGTGTTTTATGATTTTCTGTATGTGAAATCCAGAATAGGTTAATCTACAGAGACAGTAACTAGATAGGTTTATGGCAGGGAATGATGGGGGGAAATAGAAAGTTAACAACAATAACTATGAGAAGAAAAATGATCTGAAATGGATTGTGATGAGTGCACGGTACTCTTGGGTAAGAGGATAAAGCTGCTCAAGGGTAGTGGATTATTGCAGAGAAGATCTGCCCTGGTAGATACATTTAGCAATGGAAATAGTCGAACGTGAATATGTGAAAGTTCACATGACAACTTGTTCTCCGAACGTAGCTGTTCAAGCTTACATTCCTACTGGTCTTACCCTGGGGCTTCTCTGTTCACGTTAGGGTTGCCAGGCTTTGCTTAGCTGGCTACTCTGTGGTGAAAAATATCCAGTCGTAGCACTGGCTTGCATTTCTTTTGACTGATGAGGTTGAACATCAACTTATATATCTCTTTTTGGCGAAGCCTCTCGTTTTGCCTGGTGCCATTTTTTCTGTTGTGCTTTCTAAATGATTTCCTCTTGGCTTTGTTTTATCTACCTTTGCATTTCCTTTCCCTTAATTTGGAATGCTAATTGTAGATTTGCTAATATGTGTCGCAAGTACTTCCTACATTTTGTGATTTGCCTCTTTGTTTGATGATGTCTTTGGCTACCATAAATGCTTCATTTTAATCAAATTACATTCATTTAAGTGTCCTCTTATGATGGTGTAGTTTTTTTGCCTTAGTCAGGGAAAAGGTTTCTATTTCAAGATCACATAGGATATATAATTTCCACGGAGCTTTTCTTTTCAGAGTCTTGTGTTTTAAGTTCCTGTAATGTTTCCTTGAATAGACCCGATTCTTTTGTCGTCCGTCACCAGTTATTCTGGAGTTGGCTCTGAGTCAGGAGAACCCTATGAATAACAGAGGCTAGCGTTGCCCGCTCCAGAGCCAAATTCATGATCTTTAATATATGATGGGATACCCCTGTGTTAGACAGGGTTTTCTAGAGAGATAAAACCAAATTGCTGATAATATATTTATTTATAAAGATAATTATATATATAACAAGAAAT